TGCAGAGGAGGCGTTCCCCTGGGCCCGGGAGCAGAGGCCGCGTCGGTCTGAGCGCAGGCACAAGCTTGGGGCACAGACGCCTGACCGGGTAGTTCGTCCTCAGCCCCCGGAGTGGCTGCTGGAACCCGCACTCCCCACTGGTCCGTAACGGGGAGCACGTTTTCTCTACCACACGCTGCTCCGCAAACCGGGTCAGAACCCGGACCCTGACTTCTGTTTAGTGTCCAAGGCCCCTGGGGGAGGTGGTCCGATCGGCAGGACACACTCCCAGGTGAGCTGGTCTTTGTTCACCTGCATCACAGATGTTCAGGGGTAGCTCACACATGAGCGGGACATCGCCCCTCGACCGTCCTGACGACATCCGGTTGGCAGGAACGGGGGGCTCTCTGTATTTCTCAGACGCTCATGTATCAGCACCTGCCCCTGCGCTCACACACGGCCGAGCAGTCATCCGGGAAGACACGTCGCCTGTGGAGGCTTCATGAAGGTCTCGTTAAAAAATGCCAAAGCTGGTTTGTCCCTCATCCGCCCCGAGCCCTGATGGAAAGAAAATGAGGAGACTTGGGCCAGTTTTGCCAAAAATGCCCAATGGAGCTGGGGCCAGCGTGGCTGAGAATTGCAGGTGCATTGAGGCCCGTCCCCCTCCGTCTGTGCCACCCCGTCTTCCACGGCCCAGGAGCCTCCGGGAGGGAGGGGCCTGCCCCCCGCCTGCCTGTCCCTCCGTCTCTGCTCGCGTCCCATAGGGGCGTCTGTCCTGTGTAGAGCATGCGGCGCGGCCTGCGCTTGTGCACGTGGTGTACTGGACACGGGATGTGTGGGGCACGCGGTGGTGACGCGGAACCACGCCAGGCTTGTCCCGGAAACGTGTGCCACCAGCACTGTGATGTATAGGGGAGCCTCCGGTCCTTCTGTGTGTTTGCACTTCGGAGTCCTACGGACGGAGTGATTTGTGATCTCAATTTGTATTTGCAATCTCTGGCGTCTTACGTGGCATGTCCCCTTTGGAAGGGATTTCTTTTTAAAGATATTTTGGCTGGAATACAGGTTCCTTTTGTAAATCCTGTCTGCTGCATCTTTTGTTCTTTGTGGGTGGCTGGCCTGGAGGCAGAAGTGGTGAGTGGGGGGAGAGGGACAGACCTGGTGGGTGTGGCTTAGACCTGGTGGGCGGGGCCTCGGACCTGGTGGGCGGGGCCTTAGACCTGGGGGACACAGATGCTTGCACTTGCTCAAGTTCCGAGCTCACAGGGACTGACTTCTCCTAAAACCCGCGCACATTCTCTGCTGGGAAGACGCTGAGTGGGCCCGATGCTTCCTGTTGGCCTGGAGTAACGCGGTAACTCCAGGATCGCAGTCGGCCTTGGTCTTCCTTAGCGTCCTCTGAAGTTCTCGTGAGCCCGCACCCCGTTCGCTCAGACGGAACGAGGGGCTGGGACAGGTTACACCGTAAACCCCCTTAGGACAGGGAGGGGGGCTGAGGGGTGGGGCTGAGGGAGGCACAGTTGGGTCACTGGGGGGTCATTGCTGGTGCTCGGAGCTCCCGGTCTGGAGGGGCCAACGTGTCACCCACCAGAGAGGTGCCCAGCTTCCTGTGCCCGAGGGCTCAGGGCAGTGGGATCGCAGGGCACAGACCAGAGCCCGACTGAGGACGGGCGGGTGCCGGGGTCACCGCGGGGGAGTGGCCGGTGACTGGGCGGGACTTTCAGGGCAGGCTTGTGGGCCAAGTTGCCATCTAAGTGGAGAGTCGAGATGGACTGTCCCGCAGGCAGAGGGCGCAGGAGGTGACAGCACAGGGGGGAGGCGTGGCATCCGGGGAAACCGCATAGAGGCTGAGCTGATGGGTAAGGTGGTTAAAGCTCACATACATGTGCATGTGGTGAAGGAAGGGGGTTAAGGCTCATACATGTGCATGTGAAGGAAGGGGTTGTGGGAACGTCATCAGGACATGAACCCTGAGTCAGTGACGGGAGTCCTAGCGAGAACCTCTGGGTTTCTGTCCCCGTCGGACCCAA